GAAAGCTGGGGCCTTATCCTTCCTTCGTCCTGGTTGATTGTTGGTGGGCGCCTGTTTTTGGATGCGCTTGAAATCCTCGCGTTTAGGGCACTGCTTGTCGGATCCTTGGTGAGCACCACCACAGTTGGCGCATTTGGACGCCACAACTTCATCCGCAGCACATTCGGAGGTGGCATGGTGTTGAGCACAATTGCCACAGCGTGGCTTAATGTTGCAGTTCCGGGGGCCGTGTCCAAAGTTCAGACACCGTTGGCACTGAGTCACATCGCGATGGCCGCCACGGTATGGCTCCCAGCGGACGATGATGGAATTGATGGACCGGATGGCTTTCAGTGCGTTGAGCGTCACCGTTCCCTTCTGGAAGTGTACCAGGAAAAAGCTATCCGGACCGCCTTCACATTCTCGTCTCTTCTTGTCATTCGATACACGGCACTTGGGGCCAGCTTGTACCGGTCCCTGATTTCTGATTCGATAAACTTTGGGTCGAAGTTTGGTAGGCCCCTGATAATGACCTTGAACGGCTTCTCACCGGGAATGTCGAGGGTAAAGAATTCCACAGGTGGGCGACGACCACGTCATACTCCGTTTTGGTACGGAGCACCACCTTAATGCCGACTCTGCCCAACTGCCTTTAACACCCAGCGTCGCTAGATCCGCGATGAGCACATTAAGATGGGCATTTTTCACCACCAAATGGAGGTAGCTTCACTTTTGCCGTGCTCATTTCGGCAGTATTCTCGGCTTCGGCAGCTTCACCGAAATCTCCAACATCACTGTTGTTCGTCGCAGTGTCATTGGACTGGCCTTGATTCTTCTTCCTCTTCTTGCTGCGTTTTTCCAACACAGCTGACTGGATATTTCCGTCCATGGGGAGAACAGCAAACCTGTTCGAGGTAGGCACACCGGAGCTTCCTTCACCGGGGTTCTGGTCCTTCGCCGGGCTTCGCGACCGATGCTTCCCCATTTCGGGGCACACACACACACGCACGACAAACCACGAAAGAGAGAGCGCGAACACTATCGCTACGAACTTTTCGAACAACTCGAGAGAGCGAGCTAACACAGAACTGAACTGCTTGACGACCAAGCAGAGAAAGACCAAGAATTCCCCTCATTTTCCCCTTCCGTTTTATAACAGTTGCAAATGGGGTCTGTTCTTTTGTAAGGTGGTTAACTTTGATGCATTTTCGAAAAAAATCAAATGCATTTTTTTTTCGACGCATCATTTCAGATTGCAAAAAGCTCGCGTCAATCTATTCTTTTTGCTATCTTACACAAAATGACAATTAAATGATGCGTCAAAAAAAAACTGCATTTGAATTTTTCGAAAATGTATCAAAGTAAATTGAAACTTTTTTTTTTTTTTTTTTCCTTTGATTTGTTTTCCGTCGATCTTGTTTTCCGTGCTGAGCACCAATGCTACCGACGCCAGGGAGACAGCTCCCACACCTGGACCCTACCTATCGACTCATCAACTCATGAACCGGGGACCAACGGCTTTACTTCCCTTCCGAAGGAAGGCGTGATCAGAGATGTTTTGTCTCAGAACATCCCGGCGGCACCGACTGGGATTGAACCCAGGCCTGCTGGGGTGAGAGGTAATCACGCTTACCACTACACCACCGGCGCCGCTTTAAATTGAACCTTAATACACAACAATCGTCTATTATCCACGATCAAGCATGGGAAAAATCGTTCCATTTTGCATTTACTAGGGTAATTGATTCTGGTTGGACCTATCCAAAAACTGATGATGGTTGGACCTATTTTTTCAATCGCTAGTTTAGTCAATCTTCGCTAAGTTTTTATTTTCGAAGATCACTTTACTATCATAAAAAACTCTTTTTCTTCAATTTGCATTGGTGTATTATTGAAAAAACTTCAAAACAATTGAGTTTCCATGTGTTTTCAAAACAGTTCACTTTTCACGCATTAGCTCGTCATCATGCCTTACTTTCAAACATACAAAAAGGGAATATTTTTCACATTTATTTTTATTTTCATGCAGTAAAATACTGCTTTAAGGTGTAAACAACACGTTAGTACGCTATTTATCCATTGGTTTCACTCAAATGTTTGAATAATTGACGAAATTCGAATACATAAATATGATCATGGTTGGACCTACGCATGATGATGGTTGGACCTATGTGTTTCCTAAGACGGCCGCTAGGTGCGCTTCGGTTTGTCTACATCCTTCATGCGCAACTGATCGATTTCGTTTTGGCCGAGTGATCAGTTGCTTCGATTGAAAAAATGGTTAAAGAAATACGGTCGAAAATCTTCAAGAGACTGTTCTTTTAGTAAGAAATAAATCACTTACCGCGTATCAGGCACATAAAAGGTACAATAATCCGAAAACGATACTTCACGCAAAAATTAAGGGAAGCCACGGCAAGAAATATGGAAGGGAAATAGTGTTGAGTGTTGATTTGGAGAACCAGCTAGCGGATTGGGTTTGTATGTGCGCTGCTTCTGGCAGTCCCAAGACGGCCAAAAAGATCTTGGAAGCTGCTAAAGACCTTGCGTCACTAGTTGGGCGTAAATTTAAAGGAGGAACTCCATCGTCAGGTTGGCTGAAAGGGTAACCACCGATTTCCGAACTACCACGAAAGCGCCGAAAGAATCTGTTAATATGAATTTACATTAAGCACTTCACATACACCTTCAGTGTGTGAATTAACTTGAAATAAAATGTTAACAACCTAAAAATGCTAACTGAAACTTATTTCCGAAAAAAAAACTCCTAGGAGAAAAAAAAACTATAAAACCGGAATTAAGTGCTGATATTTCGTCATTTTAAGCCCCTAAATTCCCCGGGGGCACCCAGAACATGCCCGGAAGTGGCCAATGTGGTCCAAAGCACTCAATTTTGTTATTGATCTTGTTATCAAATTTGGAAGTAATGTGAAGTGTCGCATGATAGGTTTTATTCCTTCCATGTCAAAATTAGGTCCATGTTCCATATACCCTGGAACTTGTTCCGGCCATGTCTCCGGAACCAGTTGACCGATTCCAAAAATATTCGATAGCTTTCAATGGGACCAAAATACCTATAGTTTGACGTTAAAAAAATTCCAAATCGGGTCAATGATTTCCGAGAAAATGAGCCCTGATGAATAGCTAATGAGTGGAAAGTGAACTTTTTTAAAAACGAAGTTAAACTCAAATTTCTTGATTTTTTCAAATAGCAAATTCAAAAAAACTGTATAAAAAGGGTTTTTATGATTCCAATAAGCTCTAAACAAAGTTTTTGAACAAATATGGGCTAAACTAGCATTTACAAAAATAGGTTCAACCATCATCATTTTTTAGGTCCAACCAAGATCAGTATAGGTCCAACCAACATCATAATTCTGTGCTGAATAAAAACGTTTTATAAAATCATTTGTTCATAACATTTAACTTTTTATGTTATTATTAGAAACAAGAAAGGTAGATCTTTCCCCTACGACATGAATATTGACGTCGTGTGAAACCGGCCAAAATAGGTCCAACCATCATCAGTTACCCTACTCACTCAAACGCATACAACATCAGAAACGAAAAGCAGCTTGTGCGAGCCGCACAGATTTCGTTCGTATTCGCATTGCTTCTATTTTCTTCGATGAACGCAGAATTGAGCAAAACAGACAGCTGAGCGTACCATGAACGATTCTGAATGTAGTAGTGTGGATGATTCCTCTTTTATTATTTTTTCCCTGCTGAGCATTTTACGATTGCATTCTGCTGAGTGAGCTGAATGAGAATTTTGCAGAAAGAATTACTTTTTATTTTCTAGCTTTAAACATACATTGGCACATTTAAATCGCTATTAATATCGAGAAAACTGTTATACTGTAACACATAAACATAAGCGTCACGCAAATAACATATAACTGCTGTGGCCAATTCAACTGATTTAAATCAGTGAGCCAAAAACTATCTAACTCGGCTATTTAAATCGTTAGCATTCGGATTTTACGCATTCAATCTGGTTCTCCCTCGCTAGAGAATTTTTTTCGGCTGCCTTTCAGTTTATCCTTCTTTCCTTCTACTGCTGTCAGTTCTGAGTTGAGCTGCAGAGTCACTTGGTTGGAAAAATTTACACTCGTTCGGCAATCTGTTTGTAGGTGAGGATGGCTATTTTGATTCTGTGGTGCTCGCGCGAGTGAATGAATTTCCCCATGCTTGTCCACGATACGTGATTGTACTGTTGATTGTACCGCATCCACTCAGTATCAGTTCACGTGAACAAACAGAGTGGAGTAATTTTTTTTCACAAAATGGAATGTTTTCGCTGCAGATGACTTCTAAATTTATTTAACTTTATGCACTTACCGTAAGATTTGCTAAAGAGAAACAAATTGTTGAGATTTTGTTTAAAATCTAACACTGCTTCTTGACCCCAAACTCGGCCTACAGATTCTAAATTAGGCCTAATGCATTGAAACGCCATTGAATTCACTTCGGCCCATTCGGATGAAGATAAAAAATTATTCGGTCGGCGTGCTTCTTTTTCTTTTCTTTTTTGTTGAGAAAAGTGGGTGTAACCATTCATATCACGCGTTCTCATTGACTTCGTTCGGTAGCTTTTGAAATAAAGTATCTTACTAAACGCATAATTGACTTATTAACTCTGAAACAATGGATTTATTTGATGTTTTCTGCTCGGTAGGGCCAAAATGGGAGGTTAAGTAGTGCTCTACCCTACATGTTTGATTAGGATTGTCCAATATAGTATGAATAGAGCAGAAATTTGCCGGCCTCACAGCTTTTTGTTCTATTGATCATCCATCACTGGAAGCAATCCATCTGACCCATTAGTTCGGGGAAATCCGACTGCTGGCAGTGAGAAGATTATTGAGTCCTTGGCAAGCGGGATCCAGGATTTCCAGTACGATCCGAACGGAGGAGTTTTCTTCAATGGCTGGTATGCGAGGTACACGAATGTCTTTACAAAGGACGGCCAATCCCTGCATGACGCCGCTGGTGTGAGATTGCTTCTTCGTAAGTTAAGCATGCCTCTGCACGAGAAGTACGTCAACACCATTCTTCCCAAGCATCCCCGGGACTTCACCCTGGACGAAACCGTCACGAAACTGAAGAAACTGTTCGGTCGACAGAAGTCGGTTTTTAATTCCCGTTACCAGTGCCTCAAGTATGCAAAAAGTGACGCGGATGACTTCACATCGTATGCTGCCATGGTGAACAAACACTGTGAAGCGTTTCAGCTGTCCAAGCTCACACCGGACCAATTCAAAGCTCTCCGTTTCGTCTGTGGACTCCAATCACCACGCAATGCGGACATACGAGCTAGGTTGATCTCGAAATTGGAAGCCGACGAAACCGCAGTCAACGAATTGGGAGTAGCCACCAGCAAGGTAACCCTGGAGAACCTCGTGGAAGAATGCCATCGCGTGACCAATCTCAAGCAGGACACATTGATGGTGGAGAACAAAGAAGCACGCAACGTCAACATTGTTTCTCGCAACCAGAATAATCCTGCCTCAAAAAAGAACCAAAAAGTGCCGAAAACGCCATGTTGGAAGTGTGGCGACCAGCACTATGTTCGTGAGTGTCCGTTCGCTTCGCACACCTGTTCCAGATGCAAGCAACAAGGACACAAGGAAGGTTATTGCAACAGCAACAAGAATGCGCCGTCGAAACTGTTCAAACAGGCCAAATCCAACGAGAACGTGAAGACAAAAAGCATCTACACGGTTCGCAACATCGGAAGCAAGCGGAAGTTCATCCCGATCGAGCTCAATGGTGTAGCAGTCAAACTTCAACACGACTCGGCGTCCGACATCACCATAATCTCAGAAGAAACATGGATCAGCATCGGACAGCCACCCACTCAACCGACGGAAGAATCTGCAGTTACAGCTTCTGGTGGCAATCTCAACCTTCTCGCTGAGTTCCAGACCGAGATCACCATCAAGAATGTTACCAAGACTGGTCGCATTTTCATCTCAAGCAGCGTTGAACTCAACGTTCTAGGAATCGAGACTATGGATCTGTTCGATTTGTGGTCTGTGCCGATAAGCAGCTTGGTCAACGTCGTACACCAACGTTCTGATCAGTTCACCAATCAACTCAAGCAACAGTTTCCGGAAGTTTTTCGAAGCACGCTGGGTAGATGCACAAAAGCGCAAGTGAAGTTGTACCTCAAGCCTGACGCACGTCCTGCATATTGCCCGAAACGACCAGTAGCGTACGCTGCACTCGCCAAGGTGGACGCAGAACTTGAGAGGCTCCAGCAAAACGGTATAATTTCTCCAGTTCAATTCTCGGACTGGGCAGCACCAATAGTCGTCGTACGCAAGTCGGACAATGTATCAGTCCGTGTATGTGGCGATTATTCGACGGGGCTGAACAACGCGCTAGAATGTGACCATCATCCACTGCCTCATCCTGACGACCTCTTTGTGGAACTAGCTGGAGCACGTTACTTCACTCATCTCGATTTGTCTGACGCTTACCTATAGGTCGAGGTCGAGGAGGAATCGCTAAAGCTACTCACGGTCAACACGCATCGTGGACTGTTCCAGTATAACCGACTACACCCCGGAATCAAGTCGGCACCCGGCGCTTTCCAGCGCATCATCCACAGCATGGTGGCCGGCATCCCTGGAGTCAAGCCGTATTTGAACGACATCCTCATCGCTGGTCGCACCAAGCAGGAACACGATCGCAGTCTCTACGCTGTTCTCGAGCAGATCCGTGAGTATGGCTTTCACCTACGCCTCGAAAAATGTCGTTTCGCACTCTCCCAGATCAAGTTTCTCGGACACCTCGTGGATAAGGGCGGTATTCGGCCTGACCCTTCAAAAACAGAAGCCATTTACAAGATGCAGATGTCTCCTAAGGATGTCCAGCAACTCCGTTCCTACCTCGGTGCTGTCAACTACTATGGTAGATTCGTTAAGCAGATGAAGCAACTCAGGGCTCCTCTGGACAGCCTCCTCAAGAAAGATGCACGCTGGAACTGGACCAAGGATTGCCAGAAGTCTTTCGAGCAGCTCAAGGCCATTCTACTTTCCGACCTGCTGCTTATACACTACGACCCGTCCAAGGAAATTGTTGTTGCAGCAGATGCATCGAAGTACGGCCTTGGCGCTGTCATCATGCATCGATTCCCGACCGGTGAAGTGAAGGCAATTGCGCACGCCTCGCGCTCATTGACCCCAGCAGAGATGAACTACGGACAAGTGGAGAAGGAAGCATTGGCCCTGATATTCGCTGTCACCCGTTGCCACAAAATGCTGTATGGACGACACTTCCTCCTGCAAACCGATCATCAACCGCTACTCAAGGTTTTCGACTCAAAGAAAGGTATTCCTGTTAACACAGCAAACCGTTTGCAGCGCTGGGCCTTGACACTTCTGCTGTACGATTTCGACATCCAACACGTTTCATCGACGAATTTTGGCTATGCAGATTTTCTATCCCGGCTAATGTCATCGCAGCATAGACCAGATGAGGATTACGTCATAGCCGCCGTGTGCGTCGAATCTGAAGCAAAAGCAATTCTCGACGACACCACCAGCAACCTTCCAGTCACGCACCAGATGATTGTGGCTGAGACGCGAAAGGATCCAGTTCTTCAGCAAGTGGTGAATTTCCTTAATGAAGGTTGGCCAGCAAATGCGAAGCAAGTTGCTGATCCTGATGTCAAGAAGTTCTTCGCCAGACGAGATGGACTTCAAGTTGACCGAATGGACCGAATGAAGTCTCTGGTCCGAAGTTACATCTACTGGCCTAACGTTGACGACGATGTGGAGCAATTTGTCCGTCAGTGCACTGCATGTGCTGAAGCAGCGAAGTCCCCGACAAAAGCAACCTTGGAGTCATGGCCTCTCCCGGACAAGCCATGTCAACGTGTCCATATCAATTTTGCTGGTCCGATCCATGGATACTACTATTTCGTCATGGTAGATGCTTTCTCTAAGTGGCCCGAAATTTTTCGCACTCAATCCATTACCACAACTGCAACCCTGAATATGCTGCGTGAAACGTTTTCTCGTTACGGCAACCCAGACACATTGGTCTCAGACAACGGAACGCAATTCACCAGCGAGCAGTTTCAACAGTATTGCCGTGCAAATGGTATCACCCATCTCCGCACTGCTCCCTACCACCCGCAGTCCAACGGCCAAGCGGAGCGATTCGTTGATTCACTCAAGCATGGCTTCAAGAAGCTAGCCAAGGGGGAAGGATCAGCCACACTGGAGCACCTGCAGACATTCCTTTCGGTGTATCGTTCAATCCCAAACCGAAAAACACCGCAGTCAACGTCTCCAGCAGGAGCATTCCTTGGAAGACCAGTGCGCACCACTTTGGACCTACTGAAGAAACCTGTTCCTGTAACTGAAGCTGTCAAGAACCACAAACAAAACGAACAGTTCAATTGGCGGCATGGAGCAGTCAAGCGCGAGTTTGAAGAAGATGACCTGGTCTACGTTGAACAGCATCGCAGAAACGCCAAGTCCTGGATTCCTGGTCGAGTCATCGAACGAAAAGATTCCGTCAACTATATCGTTGCACTGGACATCAACGGGAGACCGAAGCTGGTGAGGTCGCATGTAAACCAAAGGCGCCCTCGTCACACTTCTGATGATCCAGAGCAAGTGACGCAGCAACTACCATGGGAAATCCTGCTTGATGAAATTCAAGATGAAGCTGTACCTTTGGATCCAGAAGTGCCATTCAATCAAGATGTCCCTATTCCTATTGGTTCCGTATCACTCAAAGCTGATGGTCAAGTGGCAAGTACGTCTGATGAAAATCCTTTTTCGACAATCGATCATGAACCTGCTGGAGAACTTCAGTCCGCACAAAAGCCCGTGTCATCTGAAGCAGTTGGTGACTTTATTCGACGTTCTGTACGAGAATCAAGAATTCCAAGATGGCTCTCTTCCTATGACATTTTCTAAAAGGGGGAGATGTAGTAGGCCTAGTGTAGTAGGCCTTGCCTGACTGTCATAAGTTAGAGATTGATTCTTTATCCGAACACCAACCAAGATAGACGTAATAAATAGTAGCTCCTAACAACAGCTTGTTTTACTTGTTGGCCTTGGTTACGGATATAACAATATAGATATACATTTTTTAGCTTAGGTAGGTATTCTCCTGCTGCGCTAGATGTTCACGATTCGTGCACCAACGAATCTAGTCCCATATGGCCACCATATTGGACTCCAAAATGGCGTCTAACATCAATTTTCAACCTCTACTCGTCGTCCGCGTTCGAAAAATACCCATATTGTAGAGTATTTGACAGTATTTCTAAAACATATGGCCTCCTTGTTGGATTCCAAATATCAAAATTAAAGTAAAAGTAAAAATAAATGGTTATTTGTGTAGCTTACCTTCTTACCTATGGCACTTAAGGTGATACTCTAAGGAAGCCTTAGCGTGAAACTTCAAAGGCACAAATGTCAGCTTCCACAAAACATACAGATTTGAAATTGCTACTCTCTGTTTGTAGTAGCTTAGCAAACAAGGAGTAGCAATTTCTAATTTGTATGTTTTGTGGAAGCTGACATTTGGGCCTTCAAAGTTTCACGCTAAGGCTTCCTTAGAGTATCACCTTAAAATAATTATACCGTTAGTCATCGGATCTACGAAGTGGTCTTATTTGTATGTACAAACGTTTTTCCATGAGATAAACGATTTTCGATTTAACGTGCGTTAGAGACGGCTTAATTTGTCAATCAGCTGGTGCTGTAAAACCTCATATTAGTAAAAACGCTTGCCAAGTAGTATCGCTTTGCTGTTTTTTTTAATTGACGGTTATAGGAAGATTTTCGTGTTTAACTTACACGTTGCCTTATTGTTTTGTCCGTCACTGTATGTGCATTAATCTTCTTCTCCTTTCTTCCTGCTCAAATAATAAATGAGCAATACCTGCGTTATTCATCTTGCGCAAAATCACTAACTGATATGATGTTTGTATTGCACTTCTAACCTTTTTCGGCATTCCTAACACCATCCACAAGGCCATGCCGGCTTTCCCCAAAACGCAAAAGATAAACATTCCCTTGAATGATTTCCGCATCGAAGTCCTTGCGAAAAATTCCAAAACATTGCACATCGTTGCGAGCCCCACTATGGCTGGTTTAGAGCCTGCGCCCTAGGACGTAAACATTTTGCTGCCATCCCGTTCCTATGGCGAGCAGCCGTCCTTGTTAGCAAACGGCAGCAATCGGTGCCTTGTATCCTTGCCTGGAAAACAACTGTGACGAGTTATATCATTCCTTCCGTGCGGGTTGGTCACGTCAAAACATTGTTCATATTTTCCTAAATATGGCCGTCTGTAGTCGTGCGGTGCTGCTAAGGGTGCAGATTTTTCGCGGATAAACTGTTAGAGTGAACGGAATTCGGTATCGTGTGATTGCTTAAGATTATTGTGCATCGAAAAGAACGTGTTCGGTCGAGTGTAATGTGAAGCAGTGCATTCATAAAATAGGATTTCATCATCAGTGTGGATCTGTGAAGGATTGCTCTACGCCCATTTTTCGCAATCACATTCCTTTGCAGGTACGAAATTTGCTATTTCTGTGATATAAAATTATTGCAATCGAATGCATTCAAGCATCTATTTTCGATAGAATTGCACGCAGAAATTTTAATCGATATTTTGACGATGTTGGTGTAGTGAAACGAAGCTCAGCGTTTTGCTTTCAACTCCCTGATCCAGGGCACTGCTTGCATACTCTGCGATATAATGTGAGATATTTAATACAAGTGCTCAAATATTTATGTCTGATTTCATAACCGGCTTCACCGGAATGCACGATAAAGCCACAACCGTTCATGAAATATGCTCACTCCAATATTCATAAGCTGGAAAAACCACTTCCGTGCGCGACCCCAGATGGATTGTCATAATTTCCAATGACTTACCAACGGACGAAAAGTTAGCAGATTATGTAAACTATTCATAACACATCCCGTGCAGCACATACCGGAAACTGTGTATAAAGGATACTCTCCCCAAATGAGATACTGCCTCTCCAAACTCCCCCCCTCCTCGCTCATGCACACCCTTATGATTTTAGGCAATAATCATATCTGGCTCCGGATTAGTAGTATGTACGTATCCAGCGACCTTACAGTTGCATTCAGGTTGTTTCGGCTCGGGTTTTTCACCCACAGGGAAAAGCACAATTTAGCCATGACCTATATAGCCCTCGCACAGCTTCCTGTTGTCTTCGTCGTCCAACATGAACGGGCGGCGAATCATTTGCAAGACAAGAGAACGGGAAACAAGCGACGCCAATTTGGGAAAGAATGTCGGAGATAATGTGTAGGTACGCTGTTTTAGACACATTGGCTTGAGGTTTTCCTGGTTGTGCAACCATTCTTTGGCAAGAGTTGGATGGGACTGCCAATGAATGTCTCTTTGTAGAGGATGGCTTGATTGTGTGCTCGGTATAATCTGTACGAAAATTGTAGTCTGATTGCAGACAATGTCAGCCCTGATTAGAAATCCTGTTCACAGTGGAACGTTAGAGTATTATTTGCATTCAAATTAAGTTTCTTTTATATGCGGGATTTGTCGTTAAAATCCTTGTTAAAAGTTGATTGTTGTATACAATTTTGGGGATTCCTGATTGCTGATTACTGGGGATTCCTGAAGCATACCGTTCAGGAGGTGTCGTTGAGAGCAAGCTTAAACATACAAAAGGAAAGGAAAAGCTCATGAAGACCAAACTGATAGGCATCATCTGTTCTAAACCGTTCTGTTCTATGGAACACATCACACTGCGTGTTGGTAGACATATTTTGAGATGACAATGTGATGTAAATGTTTTTAGTGAATTATTCATTAAACACATGTATACATATTCTAATTTGATTGATAAGCGTTTTAGTAGAATAATTGTATACCTTATTACGTTGTTTTTCCATTAAATTCTACTACTATTGTATCACTTTCACTATTCATTTTTACTATTCACTTTCACTATTCTCGTTCATTATTCACTTTCAATATCACTATGTTCAGTGTTTTGGGTGTCATTAAGGATACAGAACTCGAATATGGTGAAAAGTAAAAAAAATAACCATGGTGGCGTTTATGTTGAGTCTGAAAGAAGACTGAGCAAGCCAGTTGATAATTGTGTGCTTTCTAAGGTTGGTCCATTGATATAATGAGAGAGAGAAGGATAAGAAATTTCCATTTAATTCCACTGCCTTATTTGCTTATCCTTTACAGATACGCGTATTTCGTCTACAATGTGCAGACTTCTTCAGTGTATTGTACTAATACTACTGAGTATTAGTACAAGACTCTGAAGAAGTCTGCACATTGTAGACGAAATACGCGTATCTGTCAAGGATAAGCAAATAAGGTAGTGGAATTAAATGGAAATTACTAATCTTTCTCTCTCTCTCATTATGCAGGTATTCCACTAAGACGCCCACATTCATCAGGATTGGTCCATTGATGTATTTTTGTGTTGTGCCCGCGTACCCCGTTAAGCAGTGAAAACTTCAAACCTTGACCATGAATTGTCCCATTCATCTCATCCATGGTGTGCTACATTAGGTTGTGTTGTTTCAAAAATGATAAAAATTCCTTTGAATCTACACACTTAGAAATTATCGCCGACTTAAATAGGTAATTTTTACCGAAATCTGAACAGCTGAAGTTTTCGGTAAAATTTATGCAATTTAATTCAATTGCTTTTCAGTTACTTTGAAACTAAATCTACTCTAAATGAAAAGATTTGATCGGTTAAACAAGGTTGAACATGTTTTGAAACTATTATTTAATTCAATGGACTTTAAAATGAAGGTAAAAGATTTACCGAACGTTCAGCTGTTCTGATTTCGGTAAAATTTACTGAACACGAAAACAAAATCTTAGTGTGTAACTCCATGTTTGATGCTATTCAAACTAGAGTAAAATTTGCTAATAATATTGTCATGACTTTGAAATTCAGTAATGGATTTTAAATCATTAAATCTTTTAAATTGGAATGCTCGATCTCTTAAATATAATGAAGACGAGCTATTTAACTTTTTGAGAGTTCATAACGTGCCTACTGCCGTTGTAAATGAAACGTTCCTTAAACCTGACCATAAGGTTAAGAGGGACGCAAATTATTTCATTTATAGACGGAGCCTGTGGTGGCGTTGCCATCATTGTTCATAGACGAATCAAACATAGAATTCTTTCTTCATTTGAAACTAAAGTTTTTGATGCAAATCACCGCTCATGGAATAATGCTCAAAGCAATTCCAATGGTAATATTCTGTTTGATTATTGTTCTACAGGTTATTACACTTTTTAAGCTCCGAACATGCTTTTCTTCTGCAAGAAATTCCTCAACTATTGATTTGGTCTTAACTGATTCATGTCAACTTTGTAGCCAATTGGTTAACCATGCTGACTTCGGTTCTGATCACCTTCCAGTAACTTTTGAAATATCCCAAGGAATAATTTCTCAACAGCTCTACTTTCAATTGCCATACAGCTGATTGGGAGCAAAATCAAACGTTTATGGAATATAACTTCGATCCAAACATTCTTTTGCAAACCAAAGATAAAATTAATTATGCTATTGAAAAGTTTAATTTTCCACTCCATATTATGAAATTAGTTCAAAATTATTTAACTGACAGAACTCTGCAGGTAAATTATCAAAATTCCAAATCTGAACGACTACCTGTAAGAGCAGGAGTTCCTCAGGGTAGCATTCTTGGGTCTATATTGATATAACATTTTCACTTCGGACCTCCCTGATTTGCCTCAGAGTTGCCACAAATCTTTGTTCGCTGATGACACAGGCATTTCCGCTAAAGGAAGAAATCTTCGTGTTATTTGCAGCAGACTGCAGAAAAGTTTAGATATTTTCTTTTCTTATTTACAAAAATGGAAGATTTCTCCCAACGCTTCCAAAACTCAACTTATAATATTTCCACATAAGCCCAGAGCTACCTTTTTGAAACCTAGTAGTAGTCACATAAATAGTCACTATGAACGAAGTTCCAATTTCCTGGTCAAACCAAGTGAAATATCGTGGGTTAGTACTTGAAATTAACTTTTAAAGATCACATTGAGGGCATTCAAGCCAAATGTAACAAATATATTATATGTTTGTATCCTCTTATAAACAGGAAATCCAAACTTTGCCTGACGATTAAACTTCTAATATTTAAACAAGTTTTTATACCGGCTATGTTTTATGCTGTGCCAATATGGTCTAGTTGTTGCTACCAGGAAAAAAGCACTTCAAAGGATTCTGAAGATGATTTTGAAGTTGCCTCCCTGGTACAGTACTACCAAAAATTTCGAATGTTGAGACTTTAGAACAAATGTCCAACAAATTAATCAATAATTTCAGGCAAAAATCGTTGCAATCCTCAGTTGTTTGAACCTATTGACAATACTTTACTTGTGTTCTTTTTATTTTACTAATTTTGTTCAACGTGCCTTTATAACTTACTTAATTGTAATGTGTCCGTTTTTTTTTCTTTATTATTTATTCTTTATTCTTTTATTCTTTTATTCTTTCGAGATAATTCCTCCAACAGGCACAAAACCTACTCTTCTTTTCAAAATTAACATTACAAAAGCTTTGTTTCACAACATTTTCAGTTTTTGTTTTAGTCGAGGCAGCGGTGGTCGTTGATGGTTGGAGGTGCGATGGGTGGCGGTGTTGCTAGGTGGTACGAGGCGGAAGAAAAGAAAATGATTTTCATGGCATTAGTAAACAGCGTAACGGTAGTTTGTAGTAGAAGCTCCCAGTGAGAGTGATCTCTATGAAGAGAGCATAAAGCAGCAGTGAACGACATTACACTGGTACACATCGGTCTAAATTATGTAGTTTGCAATATGATTTTTAATCCATAAAGTCACATGATGCTTGTATCGCTGTGGATTTCGTTCCGATCGTAGAGATATAGGTAGCGTGTTGTATTTTGTTCTACCATAGTAACTGTAAGACATCTTTCCGTACTCGGTGTTTGGACGACTAAAGGGTGATACGGTCAAAATTTGGTCAAGGGAAAACGCGTGTAAATCGGTGAAATCGTTTATTTAAAAAACCAAATTAAATTTCTTTTTCAAGTTCAATTAGTATAAAATTCAGGAAAAATATTCAGTTAGGCTTCCGCCTTTCCAAATCCGAATTGCCGGGCCTTACGCTTGACCCCTGCCATCAGATTTTGTACAGTCACCTTGTCCACCTTCTTCGCCGCAGAAAGCCAGTTTGCCTTGAATTGCTGCTCGCCCTTAGCAGTTTTTTTGGTCTTCTTTAGGTTCCGCTTGACAATAGCCCAGTATTTCTCAATTGGGCGGAGCTCTGGCGTGTTGGGAGGGTTCTTGTCCTTGGGAATCACCTGCACGTTGTTGGCGGCGTACCACTCCATGGCCTTTTTACCGTAATGGCAAGATGCCAAATCCGGCCAAAACAGTACGGAACAACCGTGTTTCTTCAGGAAAGGCAGCAGACGTTTATTCAAACACTCTTTCACGTAAATTTCTTGGTTGACAGTCCCGGAAGCTATGAAAATGCTGCTTTTCAAGC